ATGTTATTTAAATGGAAAATCTCAAATGCCCCCGACCCCTTTTAAAATTAGATTACAAATTTTTTGAAATGAGAGAATTTTCTTCTCAGTAAATAGGTATTTTTAAGGAGATACATTTGTTAGGTCAGTTGTTTTGGCTCACCCTCATATACCGACACTCTAGCAGTTACGTTCTGGATATTGAGATAGGTTAAACTCCTACTTATCCAAAATAGACTTAGGGCCGGTTGCTCAAAGCCTGGTTGACACTAATCATCGGTTAACATCGTTATCGACGTTTTCGACTCCATGCATATAACACGGTAATTTACAACCACTTGAAACTTGCACATTATTGCACTAAAATACTCAAATAAATTTAAACACTTCCGAGAAAAAAAGTTCGCAATTTTGATGAAAATTTTATAAATTTTTTCAGAGTTCTACAAAATTTATAGCTTAGGTTTTGTTAGGGAATGAACTGTATTTTATGTGAAAATTCCTAAAAATTAATAAATAAACCAGGGACCTTAACGGTGATGCTTTTTTTTAAAAAAAGTCAAAAAATAATCGTTATTTTCCACCGATATGTTTTCAGTCAAAAATAAAAGTTACAAATTAACTCTAATTTTTTCGGTCAAAAATAAAAGTTTAGATATAACTTCTTATAAAAATACAGTCGGCGACCGGAGTCGGCGTAAAACTGTAGGTCCCTCCCCAACATCAAGACTCACGTCACAAATCGCAGAAACTCAGCCAAACACTTAGGTGTAAACGGCAAGTTGAAATAATTTAATTTTTTGAGTTTCATGTGAAAATTGACAGAAAATAAAGAAATTATTTTCTACTTAATTTTCTGGTGAAACCGGCTATTATTCAATTATGGTGCCTATGTAGAAATGCTTGGAATCTACGTTTTTTAGATACTTATAAAACTTTTGTTTTTACTTTAAGGTAAAAGCAGACAGATTTATAATACTTTATTGTCATCGGTAAGTAGCTACAAATAATTTCTAATTAAATTTTATCTAACATTTACTCAATTATGTAATTAGAATCTTTTAAAAATAGATAGGTATCAAAACTTAAATTAAAAAAGTGTATCATAAGCTAATTAAATTTTTAACTACGTTTGCTTTTTTAATCCATGTAAAGTTTTGATCAAAAGTATTGTGTTTAAGCCGTAATCTATGCAATTTTTATTAACACCTTCCTACCGCCAGAAATCGCTGCCACTATCGCTATGCATTCTGGTATTTACTCCGCCGCCGTGTGACATGCTTAACGCGCTACTGGAACTAGTACTAACACCTGAAACCTTTTCGATGGCAAGCATGGGGTCAGTGCTTATTTTTACGCCGCCCATAGGTTCCTCTTCCTCCTCCTGCTCTTCCTCTTCTTCCTCTTCTTCGTCTTCTACATCGGATACCAATTCATCTAATTCGATTTCCTCATCGACTGCCTCGACCATGCTGGCGATTTCAATCGAGGACACACTAACAACTTCCTTCAGATTATCCTCCAGGCATATGGAAAAAGTTGTAGAAGAAATTGTTGGAGCTAATGCCTCATTGTTATTTGCAGCATTGGCAACAGTAATGTTGTAGCAATGCGGTTCTGTACCATCACCAGTTGTTTTCGCCGTAACGTCGTCCGCCGAAATTTCGGTGGGGAGAAATGTGTTTAACGGTTGATTAGTGGACTGCTCCATGCATTGTGAGGTTTGTGGTTTTTTCTCCTTTCGACTATTCCTGTTCCCCGCTGCTTTAGCGTTAGCTTCTGCTGAGGTGCTTGGTTCATCGCTCAACGAGCGGACATTTTTTCTGGTATCCTGAGTGTTAGGTGTTGACTTCAAATGTTTCCTATGCTGGTGTTGATTGTTGACTTTCCGTCGCTGTTTAAGTTCCTGTTTTTGTTGTTCTTGTGTTTGTGGATAATTTTCTTTCGTTGCGTTCGTCGTGGTTTCACTAAAAATCCGATGCATTCGTTCCATGGTCTCTACCAACTTTGTTGAAGTTGTGACTGGATTCGTTGTTGAACTGGGCTTACCCGAAAAAGCGCCTGTGTCTTTCTCGCCACTCACCAACAGCCGTTCATTGCTGCGCTGTAGGCTCGAGTTTGAATGAGTTCTTCTTCCTACCGCACGTCCGATGCTATCACTGCTATTCTTACTAAGATCACTGATACTTTGATTTGCTAGGATTCCATCGTCATTAGTGGAAGTTGACGTATCAGATTCCGATTGCTTCGTCAAAGCTTCCCGGAAGCGCCTCATGTCATTTATATCCCATTCACCATTGGCAGCAGCAGCTCGTGCAACAGTAGGCGCCGTTGCTGTTTGTGCTATTACTGTCGCAACAGCTGCGTCTGATAATGGTGACAATCGCTTCGTATTTATTGCTTCTTCAGCATCCCTGATTGTAGTTAGAGAACGTTGTTCACTGTGAAGCGCAGATTTTCGCATAATTATTTGTGGAGTATTCGGAAGCATTGTATTACATTTTTCAAGCGGAGCTCCATTACTTTTTGCGCTCAATGCGTTAGTGTCGATGCTAAAAGTTATGTCTGTTGAGGTGAGGGGAAGCGTAGAAAGGGAGGTAAGTGTTAGTTTCGAAGTATTCACCACAAGTGATGATGGCTTCTGATTTAATTGACCTGTATAGGCATTTTTAGATAGCAAGTTACTCTGTGAATCGAATTTACCAAAATTTCGATTATAGTAAAATTGTTCAACACCGGCCATACTTCGCTCTACATCATCACATCCAGCCTTTTCACTGATTTCCCATGGAGCTGTACAATCACTTTGGAATAGCTTTGCTTTCGCGTCTAAAATTGCGTTACGATATTCCAGATTGGGACTTTTATTCTCCTGGTCAGTGAAATCTACTAAAGAATCTTTTGGTTTTAGAGCTTTATTACGAGACCTTCCTTTCATACTTCTCCGGTCAGTTTCGGTCCTCAGCGCCGCGGATTCCCGAATATTTTTCAAATTGGCACGATAATTAGCACTGACTTTCAGGCACTCTTTTTCTTTTTGGTTGTTTTCGGAAAGACTGGACACTACCTCGCGCATTGTCTCAGCCTGTAGGCGCTGCCGCTCTAGATAATTGCGGAAATTTAACTCCAACTGGTTGCTTTCATTTTCAAGTTCTTGAATGCGCATTCTATTAAAGCACAAAAATCGAAACGCATTAAGCAAGCTTATCAGGATTCTAAATATGTATCGATCTTTTACTTACCTCGCATCGTGGACGATTTGGTCGACGTTACGCTCTTGCTGCGTTATGCTTTTTACCATTTTTTGCAGTTGCTTTTGTGTATTTACTACATCCTTGATAAGGGGCTCACGGGTTCTGGCAGCTTGGGCTGAATGCTCTTTGCGTCGATCGGAGCAAATAGGTGCGACTGGATTTGTTTTAGGTTCCTTAAAAGCGGAATACATATAAACAAGTACATATCTGTGTTCGTATGGAATAATAGCTTATGTCCTTTAAACGACAAGGAATTTTTTGATGAGACTTAATAAGAATATTGGCTTGGTAGTATAGGAACTATTTTTTGCACGTTTATTTGCCCAAAGTTCTTCAACGGCTCGGCGCCAGTGAGTAATTCGAAATCGTTTGCTATGAATGCCGCATTATACCAAAGCAAGCCTTTCAACATAAACTACTACTCCATATGACCACAGATCCATATATAAAAATAAGCGCCCCTTCATGATTTTTCATATCGATCATAAAATAAAAGACTATGAAGACCCAAAAAAGGCGTTTAAATTTTTCAATTTTCTCAACATAATGTTGTTGTTATTGTTGTTTTAGCGGAACTACTAAGCCCCGCATATTTCGGTTCATCCTTCAATTATTGTCATCAAGTTCAACTAATGGTAAGACCAGGAAACGGGCAGTTTCAATGGGTTCGGACCAAAGATAGAGGGGTGTTAATTGAGTGGGATTGAGCTGGCATATAAAGAGGTGGTTGGTGTCGTGTGGGGAGTCTCCTCATGCCGGACACTCATTGGGGATATCGGGGTTGAGTCTGGACAGATATCTGTTAAGGCGGCTACAGTCTCCAGACTATGAATGTTGGATCGGTTGGTCAATGTAAGTCTGGACCGTGTCCTTATAAATGAATAGGTGCCCTCTAACGTGCCTGAGCAGAGGCTACTCCTCTAGCAAGGGTTTGTTAGGGTGTTCACTTCTGTGGCACCCCACCAGAAACTGCTTACAGAGTATTTTATTGTGCTTTCTTAAGGGAAGCATTTGGGCCTCGCTGTGTAGGTGGTAGTCAGGCGACATCAGAAGGCACCCTGTCGCTGTCCGGAGTGCGGCGTTCTGACAAGTCTGTAGCATCGTCCACTGCGTCCAACTAGTCATCGGCGACCAAACATGTGCGTTGTTGTTGCTGCTGTTATTATGCGCGGAGAAGGAGAGCAGGGTTGTTCACTGTCGGAATTGGTGTGTTATCGACGTGAATGCCTTAATGAAGCCTAACCTACTTCGTCCAGGTTGTGAAGAGGGTCGCCGTTGATTTCGTTGGGAACAGTGTTAAGCTCCTTGCAGTGAAGAAGCGAGAAAGCCTGGAGATAGCCGTGCTACCGTTTGAATCCTTGTGGGAGAGAGGAAGCCTTAATGACTTCGAGTAGCGTGGAATAACAGACGGTGTCAAACGCCTCTATAATTACTATCTCTGCATCATTAAATTAAAATTCTAATTTTTTGAAGGATACCCGTCTTTTATGATATCTCTGCGAGGTGTAATTGTAATGTAAGGTGTAATTACCATTTCTTTAACAACTCTTCGCACGATTTCTTCAGTCATTTCGCTTGTCGCATTAACCACTGGAATACATTCCGTTGCTTCAACGCTATTAGCTTCTTGAATTTTCTGCAATAACACCGCGTGACGAGTTTCGAATTCTTGTAATTGCTGTCCTATAGTTTCGTTAAGCTTGCGCGCTTCTGTAGAGCAATCATATGCTGGAAGACGGCTAACATGCTGTAGATAAACAAACAAAGAAGTCACAATGAAATGTAGTCACTAATTTATGTACATGGCTATGTTAATATTACCTCCATTAACTTTTCCTTGTATTGTATTTTTAGTAACTCTTTTTGATGCTGCAATTTTTCCTCTGATTCATTTCTCAATAGCTCACGTTGTCTATTTAGTGCCTTTTTGAGTGAAGCTTCGATCTAACCACAATTTTAAAATATAATAAAGTTATTCATTTAAAAAATCTGAATTTCTCAATTTTTACTCTATCTAAAAATTTCTGCCCGTTCTTTGTATGGCGCATCTCGTGCACCCAGTCAGTATATGTCTTTTCATCGGTAGGCGGCTTTTGTTCACCACCTTGAGCTCGTTCACTGAAAAGGTCCACCTGCACTGCAACCTGTGAGTTGACTGGTTTATGCGGCACTGTACTTTGTAGTTGCTTATGTTTCTCACTGCTAGCGATCAAGTCCTTCGAAACTGTTCTAAAATTCTCAACGCATTTTGTAAATTGTGCCGCCAATGCATCGACAGACGATACAACGGCCATAACTTGTTTACTTTTACGCTTAGTGTGTGTCATATGCTTCAGCTGACCCATAATCCTCTCTAGACTGCGGTTCAGCTTTTCATACCGCCGCGTTCGTACAGATTTTGTTAGGCGAGTGCTCGGCAATGTAGTATAACGTTTCTTTCGCAACTCTTCAAACTGCTCGGACATTTCTTTTACTTTAGTCGATAGTATCATCAGGTACTTGTTAAGATATCTCATATTACTATTACTAATCTCTGTTTTTGTTCTCCGCGTTTCGAAAGTGTCCGTTTGGGTCAAGGGACCATCAGTTGCGCATGGTTTACTCATTACTTCTGTTGTTTGTGTTCCTTCAGTGACGACTCCTGATTTAATAGATGCAATTTTCTTCACGCATTCCTCTTTTTGCCTCAATAGGTAACGAAGAATCAACATCAACAACGAAACATTTTTGGCTCCTTCATATTTTCTAATAATGCTATTTTTAAATGATGCCTCATAGGA